AAATGGTCATACCGCCAAAATTATTATATAGATTCAGTGCAATCCCAATGAAAATACCATTGGCATACCTCACAGATCTAGAGAAAACATTCCTAAAATTCATCTGGAACCAGAAGAGGCCTAGAATAGCAAAAGCAATCCTGGAAAACAAAAGGCAAGGTACGAGGTATCACAATTTAGGAATTATAAAATTATAAAATTATACTACAAAGCTACTGTGATAAAATCAGCATGGTATTAGCAAAGAAAACAGACCTGAAGATCAAAGGAACAGACTAGAAGATGCAGTCACAGCCACAAACACACTTAAGCAACTTATCTTTGACAAAGGGGCCAAACATATTCACTGAAAAATAGCCTCTTTAATAAATGGTGCTGGAAAAACTGGCTTTCCACATGCCTAAGACTAAAATTAGACCCATGTCTATCACCATGCACTAAAGTCAAAATGGATCATAGATCTAAATATTAAAACAGAAACACTAAATCTACTGGAAGACAAAGTAGGTGGAAATCTTGAAGACATAGGGGTAGGTAGAGAGTTCATGAACAAACACCAAACTGCACAGAAAATACTTTAGAGAATCAACTAGGATCTCATCTTTAGTTTGGCATAGCAAAAGAAATGACCAACAGGGTGAAAAGAAAACCCACAAATTGGGAAAAAAATTTTAGCTGACTGTCCCTCACACAAAAGACTCCTGGCTAGAAAGTGTAAAGAATTAAAAAAAATCAGACCCCAAAAACTCAAAGACCCAACACAAAAATGGGCATCTGAGATGAATACACATGTCTCTGATAAAGAAATACAAATGGCAAATAAATACATGAAAAAATGTCCAACATCATTAGTCATTCTGGAAATGTAAATTAAATCAATATGAGATTCCATCTCACCCCAGAAAGAATGGCTACTATAAAGAAATCAACCAGTAACAAATGTTGGAAGGGCTGTGTGGAAAAAGGAACTCTTCTTCACTGTCAGTGGGAGTGTAGACTAGTACAACCACTGTGGAAATCATTCTAGAGATTCCTCAGTAAACTAGGATTAGAGGTTCCATTTAACCCAGCTATTCCCCTCCTGGGTATTTTTTCAGAAGAACTGAAAACATCAGACCACAGCAATATATGTGAACCCATGTTTATGGCAGCACAATTTGTAATAGCTAAATCTTGAAAACAACCCAAAAGTCCATCAACAAGGAAGGGATTAAAAAAAAGATACGATATTTTTATACAATGGAGTATTACTCAGCTATAAAGAAAGATGACCTAGAGGCTTTTACAGGTAAATGGATGCAACCATACTCATAAGTGAAATAAATCAGACCCATAAGTGTAAACATTGTATTGCCTCCCTAGTATAAGAATCTGAAAGAGTAAATAAAATCTGAAAAGTACAATAGATATTATGAAAGGGAAAGAAACTGCTCAAGTTGGAAAGAACAACTGGGATGAAGGAAAAGAGAAAGAATGAAGGGAAAAATAAGTATATTTATATACACAAAACAGCTAAGATAATTGTAATACTAATGTCCATTAGTTTATTGAAAGGAACAGTTAATGTTTAATTTTTTTTTTTTGATCAATCTTGCATGCTCATATCTAGCAATCTGGACAATTGCTTTGAAGATAACAATGTGAAATATAACAACTAGTGTTGATTTCCTCTCAGCTTGTTTTGAAATTCTGTATCATGTTTTTGTGTTGTTTTGTTTATGCCTATGTTTTTGTTATTTTGTTTTTGATATTTTCTCTTTAAAATTAAAGAAAAAATAAAAATCCAGATATGTATATACAAGGATAGCTGGGATAAGTGCTTTGTCAATGTCTGTTGATTTGTTGAAAGGAACAGTTAATGTTTAAATTTTTTTTGTTTTCTCTTGACTAATCTTGCATGCTTATATCTGGTAACTGGACAACTAATTTGAAGACAACAATATGCAATATAACAACCATTGCTGAGTTCCTACCATCTTGTTTGATGAAGCTCTGTATCGTTTCTAGAGTTTTTTATTACTTATTATTATGTTTAATGGTTTGATCAATCTTACATTCTTACATCTTCAACTTTGCTGAAGATAACAATATGTAAGATGACAACCAGTTAATACCTCTCATCTTGTTTTGAAATCCTGTATTGTTTTTCTATTGTTTTGTTTTTTGTCTTCATTGTTATTTTTGTTTTTTTTCTCTTTAAAATAAATAATAATTAATAATAATAATACAGGTATATCTTCCACTTTAAATTTTTACAAAAGTATCAAGTCAAATAAGATCATCCAATTACTTTTACTGAGAGGCTGGTCATTGTACCCTGAGACTCAACTAGACTTAGCTAAGCCAAAGAAGGACGTGTAACTCCCACCCTTGTAGCATTTACAATTTCATGGATACTCAACTCACACATATGGGAATGAAGGCTGATGTTATTGACAAAGCATATATAAAAATAAATATAGTACATACACGCTTGCTAAATGAAAAGCCACAGCTGAAGAGCTGTTCCAACTAGAAAAATTCTTGAGACTTCCAGGAAGATGGCGGAATGGTAAGCAGTAGAGAAACAGCCTCTCAGAGTTGCCCTCCAGACACTGGAATATAGCAACACAAGGAAGAGAAGAAGGAGGGACTTGGGTCCCCTGAACCCAGAAGGATCTGAAGTGAGAATTGAAGTCCACGGGGAGAGCGGAGAGAGAAACTTGTACGAAGAAGGAGGAGGTAGCCTGCGGAGTTTTCTCCCTGAGTTGGGACTCAGGTGTGTGAGGAGCGGTTCTAACCCACGGTGGCTGCTGACGACCCCAGAGACCTCCATGGAGAGATACAGCAGTGGACAGAAGCAGTGGATGTAGAGGACTGAACCAGCTGGCAGTGAGTACTGGGGCTCTGTCGTCCTGGGGAGAGAGGGATCTGCAGGGAGCCATCTTGGAGAGGAGGCAGCTGAGCTCAGAGCTCAGAACAACTACGGGGTCCACCTAGCAGGTCCCAGCTGAGTTCAAGCCCACAGAAGGTGTCCTGAGGGCTGCAGGCTGAACAGGTCTGCTCCCAGCCTCACTACCCTGCCGTGAAGCTACTGCTGGCTTGCTGGGATAAATCAACACAGATCTGGACTCTGTCTCCACACCTTGTCTACCACTGATAGGCAGGTTTTTTTCTTTTCCATGGTTTGATCTTGTTTTTGTGTGGGTGAACGTGGTTCCTAGTTTCTTCATGGGTGTTGTTCTTTTATCTCTTCCTTCTCTTTCCCTCCTGTCTTCTGCACCAGTTTCCCAAAGTTTGAGGGATCCTCCCTTTGTGCTCCAACCTTGCTTCTAATTTCTTCCTCTGTTTCTATTTATCTATTTTTTCCCCTAACCCCTTTTAAATTTTCTCCCGGGGTAAAATGGGCATATGGAGGGCTTTTTTACTGCATACAGTTTTTTGATTTGTTTTAGATTTTGTTATATAACCACAGATCTAGTTTATATGGTTAAAGGTGGCAAATTAATGATTACCTCAGTTTGTCATTTTTCTATGCTATTGTTATTGGTAATTCTACCACTTTAGCCAAGGTGACATAATGGTCCTAACCAGCTGTTCTTCCCGGTATACCAGGACTGAGACTGGCTAAGCATCATAAAAAATCCTGTGGGCCAGTGCCACAGAAGCAGGGGCTGGGCCAAAGAGGCAGCAACTTCTCATCCTCAACACATTTAAGAGATAGGATCTGGAGCTGGGGATTTAGCTCAGCGGCACAGCACCTGCCTGGCAAGCATGAAGTCATGAGTTCGATTCCCAATACGGGGGCGGGGGGGATAGGATCTAGCAACAGACTCAAAATCCAAAAGGTAGCTACATCTAGAAGACATCTTTGAGAGGTAATTTCCTAAGGGTTCTAAATGCTAGCAGTAAAGCTACTAACCACAGGCAATTTACAAGCCTCAACCCAGGAATTAAGCTTAAAAGAAAGAAGAAAGTGAGAAGACACTTAAACAAGATGCAACCCCAGACATCCAGTTCACCAAAGGCAAACCCAAGGGGCAATGAGATGGGACAGTCTGAAAGCCACCCACCTGGCCTCTCTGAAGTGGTAACAACAAAGCATATGAATGATGCTCTAGAAAAAAATCAAATCAGAAATAATGTTTCATAACTACAGAGGTGGTGACCACAATGAGAAACAGTCTTGGTGACTCTAGAGCAGATACAGTTAAAAAAAAGAAAGGATCTTAGGAAAATGATGGAAACCATGAATGCCCAACATAGGAAAGAAATGGAACACAGAAGAATTCCTAGACAAGACTGAGCATTGAGCCAGGATTTAAAGAAAGGATTTAAAGATGGATGAGGGCCAGGGAGGAAAGAAAGGACACTTGCAAAAGTAAACGACAACAACACGGATGTAATTTCATTGGTCACTTGGAGTTTACAAACTAAAACACTATGCATTTAGCCACTGGCCTCTCTTTTGTTATCTGCTTTATTTTATACATTCTCGGAAATGTGTCAAATTTTATTTTGAACTCAAGTGCTTTTCTACTTTAAATGATGAGGTGGACTCACTTCATAAATTCCTTCCAATGCGCTCCTCAGGTTTCACTCGAGGTTTTTTCCAGTCACATAATGTGAAATAGATATGCTTTGTTATTCTCCATCTTAGCATTTCTCTCACAGTTCTTATCATAATTTACAGTTGTGAGTCAGTTTGGGAGCTTATCATTTGCCTGCCTTACTAGATTATTAACTAGGTAGAGGCAGGGTGTTTGTATCATTTTTCTTTGCTGTATACATATTGCTTAGTACAGTGACTGGCACTTCATAGCTATCTGTTGAAATGGAATTAAATAGTACCTATTTCTGTGAAGCCCAGAAATCCATGTATTAAACTGATTCCATACCCTACAACAGTTTTTACTTTTAAATATTTTAAACACTTTCTAAATTAAAATTGTTCAAACTTCTGATACACAGAAATGTGTGTGTCTATATATATATACATATATATATAAATATATATAATATATGTCATAAATGGTAATATTTTTATTTTCATCCATAAAAATCAATTAAAATTTAGATAAAATATTTCATCTTTTACATTAAACACAATTAGTACATGAGAACTGTTAATTCACCCAAAGTCAGGATGATAACGCTGGTCAGGATTAGGGAATGGGGTGGGACAGCCAGTCATTACTGGCATTTGCCCACACAAGGTGCCTGGCTGCAGATTAGAAGAAGGAGCCATATCCTCTGGGTGGCCACAGTGACGCCTGATGCACCCTGACTGCTTGGTGAGTGAAGGCTGGGGAGCACTTCAGCGCCCCCTCTAGGTGCACTGGACTGGACCTGACCCTCACACAGGTACAAGCCCTGGCAGGGTGACTCCAGCAGAAGATGATGATCTGGCCGCACTGGGCTACTTCATTTCTTGCAGAAAAAGAGCCTATTTTATTCATTCCGATGAGGTTGGTCAGAAAGGGGCCCATTTGCCTCTGTGATTCTGGAGCCTTAGCTGAAGAGGAAGCCCTTCCTAGAGGAAGAGCATTTTTCATATCCAAGTAGATGGACATCTCTGCCCTCCTGCTGCAACCTCCCAGTGGACTTTCAAGATTTCATGTTTGGAAATAACCCGGTGTTGAGTCTTGACTCCAAGGAACTATGCTGTCCAGCTGCAAGTGAGGTTTGCAATTTTCCCTCTGGCAAAAAAACAAATCAGAAGTTAGTTCAGTTGTAGAATGCTTCTTAACGACTATCTGGAAATTTTATCAGTGGCACTAATAGACAGGGAAAATTCTAGCTCCCATGTGTTCCACTACTCTGGGAGGCTGAAGCAGGAGGATTGCAATCTTGAGCTCAACCTGAGCATCACTGTGACTTGGTGAGACCATCTATAAAACATTTAAAAAGGACTATGGGTATAATTTAGTATAAAGACCACGGATTTCATCGTCAGACTAGAAAAAAAGAAGGAAAGAAAGATCAGGTCTTGTTTCAATAATCTTTTATAAATGCTCTATAGCTTGAATCTTAGTGTCATAGTTTGTCACAGCCATACAATTTTTTAAAACCCGTTTTAATTTAAGTGTCCTTGGTCTTGAAATATACCCATAAAGAAGGGCTGTCCCTAAACCACTAACATGAATTCATCACTTGGCATGGGAATGCAAGCCACTGACATAAGATTTTAGAAGGATCTTTAAAGCTTTGAATAGTGGAAAGCACTCTAGATTGGGCTCCTGGGACCTCATTTTCAACTACCTAACTTGGTGAAATTGCGCAAATGATTTAATCTTGTTGGGATTCATCTCAAGATCTGTGAAATGAGAGTCTAAAGTCTTAAAGTTCTTACAGTGATTTATATGAAAAGTCCTCCAAGCAGGAAAAATGTCAGGGAAAACAGTCTGTGGAGCATTTATAGTCACATGCAAGTGCTAGTCACAGCCGCCCCAGAGAAATGCGTAGGGTGTCCTTAGGGTCCTACCTCTAGCTCAGGAATGGGTCAGACATTCCAGCCAGTTCTTCTCATTTACTCGGATCGATTCACTTCTCTTGGTAAAACTCTAGCTCCACCAGTAAATCCCAGCCCAGAAAGTTTAGACAGCCACTGGGACCACTTTAAAGTTAGTTTAATCAGCTATCCACCTGAACCACCAGCAACTTTCACATGAGCTCTGCAAATCTGTATCCAAGAAGTGAAGCAAATCCAAATATGGTGAACATTCCTCCATTGCCAAAATGGGAAGCTGCCTTATCTCCTCATCGAAACCCATCCACCGGGAAAGCAGCTGCCTTGTTAAATACTCAAATGGGCAAAAGCACATTCTGTGTGCAACCCCATAGAGGTCTGTCCCTTTGCCAGCTTTTAGGGACGCAATAAACATCAAGCCACAGCTCTTGGTAACGTGGACATCCTTTTAGAAACACTTCACACGGTCTTTGTGCGGCTGGGGGAAAGGTTCACGTGTTTGTATACATGGGGGTGCAGGGCGCAGCCTTTCTGGACACACCTGCAACTAATTCTTCCTCCAGAACTAACACCTCTATATTAACAACCCAGGGAGAGTGTGTGTGTGTGTGTGTGTGTGTGCGTGCGTGTGTGTGTGTGTGTGTGTGTGTGTGAAGTTGATTCCCCAGCCTGCTTCTTTCTGCCCACCTAGGGCACAAGAACCGGAGTTAGCCTACTGACATCTGTGGGGCTGGGCTCGGATCCTGGCACAGGAGGCCCTGAAAGGGGTTCCTGGCGTCAACCTGCCCAAACCCAGGTGAAGCCTCCAGCGGCAGAAGACTCGACCCGCTCCCCGACCCCCTCCCTTCCCACCTACACCACCCACCCGCGTCTGCCGCTTCATAGCCGCGGGACTTCCGCGAAGGTGGGTGGCCCTTCTCAGAAGCCTCCAAACCCCTCACCCCACTCCGCCTGTAAGTCAGACCCCCAGGATCACGGGACTGGGGGGTGTCTGTCGGTGCGGCCCGAGAGGGAAAGAGGCCGAAACACTCCCTCTTGCCCACCCACCCCCGTGACTAGGGCCCAGGTAGGGGTCGCCCTAGCAGCCCCCACCCCTTTCTCACCTCCTACGGCCCACTCTTTCCTCTCGCAGCCTCAGCCCGGGCAGCGCGCAGGGGCTGCGCGCAGGAGACCGCGGTGGAGGCGGCCGCCGCCAGGCAGCCCCGGAGCTCGGGGGACGCGGCCTGGAGGCTGGCTGCGGAGGCTCCGCCGCCCTC